CTTTGTGGTGTTGTATGTTTAGGTCACTGCTTTATCTTTTCCTCTTCAACGACTTACAATGACAGTCAGCCATTTTCCTCTGCCCTTATGCTTCTTACTGCCCACCCCACCCTTTGCTTCATGGCCCTTATTTGTGAAATGCTTTAATTGGATTATACTCAATGCATCAGAAACACTTTGTCAGAGCTCCGTGCGTATGTAATTGTGTAACAGAATAATGAGCTGTGCATTCTTAATTTACATAAAATAATGATAAAGCATTGTCAAATTCATATTCAGATTTTTTTTTTATCATCCAATGAGCTTAACTGGAATGAAATCATATGTAGATGCTATGTGACAAAGCAGAGTCAATAATATAGACTAGAGAATTTAAATGATCAAGCCTGATTGATTAGATCGATTCTCAGCTCCTTACTCAAGCTCCTTGAATTTGTAACAGTTTGTCAGTCTGACCTCTCAGTGCAATACAAACTGTAACATGCCCAGCAGACAAACACCTGTATTGTATATAAATAACATTGCTTTGCTGCCATTTAAGAATTATATGGATTATTTAAAAAATAGACAGGAGATTTGATAGTTGATCTTTTGGGTCCTTTATCAAGGAAACATATCAAAAATCTGCAGGTTTTAACCTCTCAAATGAGAATTTGCTGCTGCTTTGTTTTTTAACAGTGTAAAGTTCAGTTAATTGTTAAATGAAGAAAATAATTGTCAGATAAATCCATAATCAATATTTGTCATTAAAATAATAATTGGATAGATTGATAAAGTGCTTTATTAGTCCCCAAGGGAAAATTCTGGTTTTACAACAGCTAAACAAGGACGTTTTACAAAATAAATGTAGATGTTAGATTAAAATCTGTTTAATTCAAAGATACTGTTTAGTGTTTTTTAGCTTTTCAAAACATATTTTATACAAGCACTTTGCCACTTGAGCCCTGCTTGATGTTGATTTAAAACTCCCTGTTGGGGTATCCCGATAGCTGAGCGGTTAATTCACCGTGCGCACACACACACACACACACACACACACAAACACCATTTCCCTTTAGTCTCTCTGTTATCAACTATCCAATAGAGGCCGAAATGGCAAAAACTCATTTAACTAAAACTGTCAAGTAATTCTGTCTTATGCTTCTCTGTGCCTCTGTTTTTAGGTGAGCGGTTTGCCAGGATCCGTCTTTAACCTGGCTCCCTCCCACATGTTTGGTAACAGGTTGAACCCAAACTCGGCCATGGCAGCACTCATCGCTCAGTCCGAGGCCTCACCAGCAGGTATGCAAATGTGTGTTTGTGTGTGTGTGTGAGAGAGAGAGACAAAAGTATTTAAGTGTGTTAGAAAAAGAGAGGGAGATAATGAATAGGGCATGCCCCCTCAGTCCCACAGAGGTCAAAGGTCAGAACATGTGATATTTTCAAGCTCCACCCACTCAGCTCCGGTTACATGCCTCAATCGCTCCCCCTCTTTTCCTCTTCCATCTACCTTTCTGTCACATGTACACAAGCAAATACAGTACACGAGCTCACGCACATGTAGTTACCACACAAAGCATACACCTTTCCCATAAGCCACGGCCACTGAGCGAGAAAGGAGGATTTTGTTGATGTGGTGGTGTGAAAGAGGAGTAGAGAAGGCCTGGATCAAGCCTTTGGGAACTCCTGTGGTAGAACAGATGTGGTTTGTTGTCTATCCTGTGCAGGAAAGCTAATGATGGGAGTAAGAAGCGGCTTTAGTAATCAGAGTAGTCAGTTCCAGAAAAGAAGAGAGAGTAAAGAGGAGGAAGGGAGGTAGTTCCTGTTGCCAGTCAGCAGTCATCAGAGCCAAATCAGCTCTGACCTACAGGTCAGCTGACTTGTTCATGGTTTCTGCCTGCCCTCGCACAGACATGCATCTGTTAATGGAACAATCTGGGGTATGGGTACTTGGACATGCCGTGCACATGCACACTAAAATACATGCTGGTGACATCCTGACAGCAAGATCTCCTGTGTTCTGTTTGGCTGAACAAGACGCAAAGCAGTGTATATCTGCTGATCTAGAAATAGGACCAAGTAAATAAACAGTAAATACATGTGGTGCACAAAAAGAGTGCTGTTTACCTGCCTGGCGCATGTGCAGCCAGCAAGGCCCATAGTGAGACAGACTGCATGAACTAATATTAAGAAGCTGTACATGGACTTTGGCAGATGATGAAATTTACATCACCCAGACCTCTGCAGGGATGTGGAAAGCATGAATTGACCTTAATCAGACTAAATGATGAGGTCACAGGGTGTGTGTGCGCACAACTGATAGACTATGCAGGTTCTGTTTATATACCCAAGCAAGTTTTTGTCATCCCTGGGGTGGGAAACAGATTGTCACCATGGTAACATTTGTCCCACTTGTCACTTCACAGAAAAATATTAGATTTTAGACTTGATAAATATTAGATATACATCACTAAATATGTATGTTAATCAGTGTTTGTCAGATTTTTTTTTATGATTGACTGAATAATTACTAAGTCATTTAACAAACATAAATGCCACATTTGCTGATTCTCAAAAAAAGTATTGTCTGATATTTTTTTTTGTCCAGTATAATGAAGTTTTCTTATATACTGTATATATGTGCGTGTGTGTGGTAAATGTCAGATATTACTGAAACATGGCCAAAATAATTTAATAGAGATCTAATGTTAGCTAGTTTTTTCTGACCAACAATCACAAACCCAAAAATATTCAAATTAGTAGATTCTAGACAGAAAGGGCTAGAATCGGGAAATGTTAGACACTTTTCTTAAAAAATGACAAGCAATTGTTAAAATACCCAGATAATTTTTTGGCCGATTCACTAATCACTGAACAGACAAGCATTTCACCTCTATTTGATAATTAAATAAGCTTTGTGCATCTTTAGTGAACATGGATGTTTTCTTGCAGTTGTCTGTTAGTGAACCAGTAAAGCTCACGTGAGCGGTCAGGGTGCATGCACGTTTGCATGCCTGTAGGCTCCTTACTTTGGCAACTGTTCCTTTTTGCTCCTGAGTGCCAGGACGAACAGGTAGTAAGTGAAAGGGAGCTTGGAAAATAAGGCGAGGGACTAGAGCAGTGACCTGCTGGGATTGGCTCCTAAGTAGAGAGAAGTTTGTACAACAGTATAAATGCAAAAGTGTGCGTTTACATGTGTGCGTGCATGTGTGATTCATTACTCACTGAGGAAAATGAAAAGAAGTGTTTGGCCGGTGGCCCAGAGGGATGAGGTGGAGACAGACTTTGAAAGAAAGCTCATTTGTGAAAGAGATACAAAGGAAGAGAGAGAGAGGGAGTTTTGTAGATTGCACAAGCATCACAGTGCATCCACATTACACAGGCTAAACTTGAAAATGCAAGTTTTCTTCTCATTGCATTGACCCCCTCTCCACACTCAGCCAGCAGTTTGTCACCATCGAGTCAGTGTGTTTTGATTTGTCTTGCACAGCAAAGCTTTTTTGTAAGGTGATATATTGTGAGCCTGGTTTGGGGCTGTGTGTAACTAAAGTTAAACCTTGTGTTTTATTGAGGTTCCTTATTGTATGAGAATAAAATAATAATAATAATAACTAATATTCTCTTTACTTTAAATACTACAGTACAACTTGTTCTCAGTTAAAAATCATGGTCATAACAGGGACATTATGATTAGAAAGACCCTTTGCCTTTTTATTTATTTATTTTTTATTAGTGCCACTATAGCTGATCACTCAGTACAGGTGGCATTAAGCTGTGTTTATCTTGATTTTATCAGGCAACTTTGCAATCTGGTAGACATCTTAGCACAGCTGATCATATTTAAAAGCCACACTCATCTCGTGTGACGGTATGTAACAGCTAGTTTTGACTTGTCCACAACTGCACATAGGCGTCAACACATACCCTAGGCAGCAAAGGGGTTTATGGATAAGCGTAGGTTGCTGATGGTTGCAAACAGTCTGATGCGCACACCTCCCAAATCTCAACTACACGTTGTGCGAAGCTGCACATCCTGCATGCCGATTGGTTAATCCGACTCTGCTGTGACCAAGACATAGCTGTCTCCTATTGGTCCTCTAGCGGGTACTCGCCTCTGCGAAAACATCAGAGAAAATTGTTATTACTTGCCTGGATTGACCACCTATTCTCAATCTAAGTGGTTACTTTCTCCCCTGAAAAATATCAGCACTTTATAACATGGCATAATGCCAGGTCTTCCATTTCCTCATTTCTTCTTCTTCTTCTTCTTCTTCTTTTCTGTATTTTGATGTGTGAGGGCCCCCTAGATAGAATATTAATGTCTGTACAAGTATAAATACAACAGCTATGCAACCTTCTCCAGACAACAGACGCACGTTCCCATACGTGCAGTGATGCAGAAATCTAAATTCAGCTAAAGTGAACAACTGCATTATGAGTTTGACTGTATTAATACAGTGTAGATGGTCACAAAGCAGGAGGGCACAGAACAGAGGTTTTTACTAATGCAGATGTTTTTTTTCAAGTGATGAGGGGTTTGGCGTGAACAGAGATCTTCTCTCCCTCTCTCTCTCTCTCACACACACACACACACACACACACACACACACACACACACACAAAAGACCTGAAAATGCTAACATTATTTTCACCCAACGGGTTTCCAACTGCAGCCGGCTTAGCATGGATGTGTTCTTAGATGTCCAATTGATTTTCTGTGTGTTTGCGTGTGTGCACTGCAGATCAGGAGGTGGGAGACGGCAGCAGCAGCGTCAGTGCTCAGGGCTTCTCCATAAGAGCTTCTCCCAAGACCACCCCACGGTGAGTACACACACACACGCGCACACATATGCCCTCCACTTTTCTACATTCCTCACTGCCCTCCCTTCACCCATCCCCCTCTCTGCTTTTCCCTCCTCTGGCCCCTCGTTTCCTCTCGCTTCCTCTCACTCCTCACACACACATGCACACTCTCCCTTTCGCTCTTACCCTACAGGCAATTCTCACTTTCTCTCAGCCAACGATAACTTGTGTTTTTGAAGGTCATAACCATCCTTCAGCTCCAGTTAGATTGCTTTTTTCCTTGGTTTAATCACACATGGAGAGACAGTCTGGTGGTTTTCTGCATCTTCTCAGTTTGGAAATATTTCCACGGATCTTTCATGATGGCGGTATTGACAATACAAATGTTTGTTTGGATAGTTTCACTTGATGAGGTTGGTGACATTTGTTTTTTTTTAACACTGCACTTATATTATTTATTCTTTTCATTTAGGATAAATATTCCTGCAAGAATTGCCAACATTTAATTTAAAAGAGAATGTTGCAGTAATTATATATGGTGCCAGTTAATTTAAGATTTTCTCAATAAGTAGAACATTTAACGTGGTTTTAGTTATCTTGAGAATTTTTTTTAACTTTAACACTTTTACGTCATAAATTCAGTCAATAAATCTGTTTTTTTTTTTTTTTATTCATCCTCACATTTTTGGATGATGCTGTGATATTGTATTTACTGTTACACTATAATTCAAAAGTGGGAAAAACTTGCCTGGTCATTTCTTTTTGCCTGGTCATTTCTTTTTCCTCACATTATGCACCTCTATCTGTGTGCTGCTCTCTCACCTCCCTCTTTCATACACACACTGGTTGTCTCAGCACACACACAAAGTTTATCGCATAAAGACAGTTAACTTTCTTCTTTCCGTCTCTCTTGCTTGTCCTCTTTCTTTGTCTCTTTCTCTCTCGCTCACACACACAGACTAAAAGCCTGGCCCCTTTTCATTAGAGGCCTCTGTAACAACAAATTGATGTAGTTTTATAGCCAGCACTGTCTATGTTTGTCTGACGTTTATGTTGGGTCGTTAATCTCCCTATTGACCTCTCCATCTCCCCTTTTCTATCCATGCTCTCTGTCACTCTTTCTCTCCCTTCATTCAGCTCTCCCATTGGTGGCCTGCAGATCCGCTATGACTCCTCAGGGTCGTTACCGGGGTTGCTAGGGGCAGGGGCGGGCGGCATGGAAACGCTGCCCCCAGTGGCCACCAGCATAGAACAGCTCCTGGAGAGGCAGTGGAATGAAGGGCAGAGCTTCCTGCTGCAGCAGGGAGCACATGGAGACGGTAAGAGGACGCACATGGGCCTCGGTGGTGTAGTTTGAAATAATGGTTCTTGTTTAAATTCATAGTTTATTTGTGTTCAGAACACTATTTTGACCACTGAAGCTCTGAGAAATCCTTTTTCATTTAACAAAAGAAGCTTTTCCAAAAGTCCTGGGCAAAAGGTTAAACTTTTGTTGTATGATTAACTTTTGTAGCTATTTTAGTAAATAATATGAAATTATTACAGTGTCAGAATGCCAACAGCTACACTATAACCTAGCTAAGAAAAACAGTGTCTAAAATGAGTGCAGATTTAATTCAAATTAGTAAGTGGCTGATAAAAGATAACATTCAGTACCATCTTTCCATACTTAACTCACCAGACAGGTTCATACCTGGCCTCACACATGCACACACAGTTATTTTTTTCAATTCTACAGTTTTGCCCCATTTTCTTTTTCCTATCAACTGAGCCATCAGCTTTTTGCTTCAGTCTGTTGCCATTGTTCCTCTTTTCAGTTACTTCCTTGTGTTATCTGATATTGTTGTCTGTCGATCTCTGTCGGTTATCTGCTTATCTAGACACCGTCAGTGATCAATAGAGTGAAAATGAAAAAGGGATGGAGGCCAAGGTGTTGGAACGGCCGTCCTATACAGTGGATAAGTCAGATTTATTTCTTGTCAGAATACCCTCCTCACTGGGTTGTCCTTGAGTGCTGTGCTGAGTCTGTACAGGCGCCAGGGTCACTGTTCTGTAGCTGATCTTGACCTCTGACCTCCCTGTTGAGTGAATCTGCCTAATCAGTCACTGGGTGTTTGAACAGAGCTGTGTGGACTCTCAGCAGAGTTGCATGGTTTTGCCTTAAGGAAGAAGTGGCCTTTTAGGAAGTTAGAGCATCATTCTTGTCGCTTGTGAAAAGATCACTCCAGTACTGCTGCATCCTGAAAAGTAAAGCACTTTACATCTATAAAGTAGGCAATACAATTAAAGTTTGTAACGCTTCTGTTAACTCCAGACTGTTGGTACAGTTACAAAATGTTTTGAGGGAGCAGAAATAGCTGCTGCTACTCTCAGATATGCTGATCAGTCAGTCAGGTTCATTATTCTGATGCATATTTCCTTCTCAGTGGTGGGGATGTTGAAGTCTCTTCACCAGCTGCAGGAGGAGAACAGGAGACTGGAGGAGCAGATTAAAACTCTGACCATGAAGAAAGAGAGACTGCAGCTCCTCAGCGCTCAGCTGTCAGTGCCTTTCACCCCCACCACAGCCTCCTCTGGTACGTGCACTCGCAGGCACACTAAACAACTCAAGATGTATAGTGGAATAAAGATGGCTGGTAAGGCAGTTTGCAGTTGTAGTGACACTTTCATTTGGCACAAATACATAATTGAAGTGAGGTTGCACTTGGCCCTTCCCTGCATCTGTGTCCAAACATACATACTTACTAGAGCTGGAACAGTTAATCATTCAAGAGGATACACTTCTACAACAACTCTGACAAATGATTAATCTGCATTTGTTTAATCAAGAAAAGGGACAATTAGTGCCAGGTTCATGCTTTCTCAGATATTCACATTTATTTTAAATTGAATATCTTACAAGACAAGACATCACCCCAGGCTTCCAGAACTTAAGATGGACATTTTCCAGTTGTTTTAACTTTCTAGACTAAACAATAATTGGTTGACTGTGGAGTCACCAGAATACTCAGAGAAAGTACCTGATGAAAATGAGTCGCAGCCCTAATGCATCCATAATCTGACACAGAAAAAAATCTGAATCTTCATTAATTTGTGTTACAGATGTGAAAGGAGCCCAGCTGGGGGCCACTGACTCATCTTTACCTGTCGCAGCTCAGGTACACATAAACACAACGTGCTAGTCTTAGTTTGAACCCTGTATTAGCCAAGCATCAGGTCATAAAGTTCAGTTACATCAGCTGGTGTCACATTAGATGGTGAATACAGTGAACTCTAGTCAGTTTACAGTTGTGACAAACTGACTTGTGTATCATAAGTTTGTTAAAAATGCATAAATGGAATCAGCGTCATTACTGGGGTTCATCTCTTTGTGTTTCTCTCAGGACAGCACATCATGCGGTGGCCACAGCAGTAGTGGCTCTACCTCTTCCCTCTCCACCCCTCCCTCTGTCTCCCAGAGCCCGCCGCAGCTCAATGGAGTCACCACCATGGGGACGACCCAGGCAGGGCTGGGTGGGGTGACGGGGCTGATGGGTGCGCTCGGTGCAGGGAGCACACTGGGCATGGGTGGAATTGTTGGGGCACTGAATGGGGTGATCCAGACACCAGCAGGAACTAGCAGCCCACACACCAACACTACCGGAGCAGCTACAAGCGTCCCATTGCCTGTCAATAACAGGTACATCAGATGCCACTTCTACCATTTTGTCTCTTTCCTGTCCTGGTCAGATCAGAAAATCTTAAGCTCAACCACACAGCACAAGTCTGAGTGGGAGTAGCTAGTACACAGTCATATTTAATAAGGCAGTATATTGTTTCATGGCCAACAGCAGAATTATTGTAAGCAGCGCTGTATCACTCATGCTCACCAATCTGTGTGTGTAGCACAAAGATGTTGCAGTGGCCTTAAACTGTTTTTGTTGTCAGTCCCACTGAACTTTACTGAGTCCTCTGCTTTGTCTTTTCTTTGCTTGCGTGTTGGATTCTAGCAGCACAGCAGCCAATAAGAACAGGTGAGACAGAAGGTGGTGCAGCTTCCCCACTCGTTGTAGCTCTGTTTTCTTCTTTATGTCTGTCAAGAGAGATTGTGGAAAAATGTTGTTGTTCTTGCTTTTCAAAACATGAAATTGTACAGATTTGCTGCATTCAGCAGCTTCTCATCAGCCTGAGTTTGGAGATGAGTGTATAAAATGTCTAAAGTTAACGTCTGATAGTGTGTTTACTGTGTTTACTGTGTTTTGTTTTGCCAGCGCTGCACGGCTCGGCCTGCTGTCTGAGCAGCACAAACTCCTCCTGCAGCAGCAGCAGCTCCAGCAGCTGCTGGCCTCACCCCCCACCCCCCACACAGAGGTGACACACACACACACACACACACACACACACACACACACACACACACAACTCACTGCCTTCGTCCACTATCACACACAGTTAAACACACATGCGCACACATTGAACTTCAGTTGTGGCACTTCTTTTCCCTCACCTTTCCCCTCTTTGTCCTTGTTTGCTCTCCCCTGCCCCCACCCTCGCCGCCACCACCAGGAGCAGCAGCAGGTGTTGCTGTACCAACTGATGCAGCAGCAGCAGGACCTCCAGCAGTCCCTCTCCTCCTCTGCCCAGATTACCACCATGCCACTGTCTTCCACTCAGCTGTCCATCAGCAACCTGCTACCTGCCGCCCAGAGCCAGGGCCAAGGCGCCATCACCGCCAACCCCTTCCTGGCACTGCAGCACGCACACACTGATGCACACACCTCGGGGACACAGAAGCAGCGGATAGCTGAGAAGGCCATGGGTGTCGGAGGGCAGGAGAAGACATGATGGCAGTTGCTCCTTTGTTTTTGGTGGTTATAAAATGAATATGCAGAGTTTTCGGGAGACTGACCTGTTGGTCAACTTTGTTGTTCAGCCATGAGAACACTGGCAGCACAAACACTTTGTCACTTGTTACTTTTACTGTGCTAATACATTAGCACGCTGTGGAGTGACAGTAGAAGACAAAACCAACCTTTTTCCTTTTGCAGTAACTAGGTCACTAGTTGATCCAGTTAAGTTTATTTTTGCAAAATTTTGGGGTTTCACTTTTGTACTTTGTACCATTTTTTTCCCATCCAGTTTTAGATTTCTTTTATTTTACCTTTAGTGCTGCTTCAGGTTCTTATTTTGTCATTGTCACATAATATTATTGGTAGTAACTTAGTGTATGTGTCGGTGTGTGGCACCAGAGCACATGGTGTATCCGCTCTCAGCTTCCCTTCCTTTTCTTTAGCCATTGTCTCTGTATTGTCTTCACTCTGTTTCTTCACCTTTCTTCTCTTCTTTGTCTTACAGCGTCACATTTGTCTTCCCCGTCCTCCACACTCACATCCCTCTCGGTCCGGTCTGTCTGCTGTTTCATTCTCTCAGGGGCCTCAGTTAGCCAGAGCTGTGCACTAAGCACACGGAGCTATAAACATAAAAAGAAAAAAAAAAAAAGCAGAAATACACAAATGTCTCAAACAAAATTACAATTCCCTACCACAAGACCTAACAGTAGCAGATGTATTTTTGACATCTGTCTTGCAGTGCTCCGGAAGGAAATGTTGGGTGAGAGGCTTGTGAAGACATCACGTCTTCTCATTGTTGCCGCTCTCCCTCATGTCTCCTTCACTACGTTTCTGTACATCCATTAATGTCAGTGAGCCGAGCCAAGTTTCGAACAGTCACCACAGAAGCCTTGCTTTTCACTCGCTCTTCTCTGGGCCAGAAACGGGGCTCGCTCAGGGAAGTGAAATGTCCAGAAGTAAAAAAAGGTAAGTTGAATATTTAGATGGATGCAGTAATCGCACAGACTCACAAAAAGAAATTATGCAGTTGGTTGTCAGTGCGTGCACATCACTGCGTTTCATTTTTGTGAATGAGCCCCTTGCTTGCACCTACCTCTCCAGCAGGACTAGTCTATCAGGACCTAAAAGGCCAACACCAGTGGCCACTTGAAAACCCACAGCAGTCAGGACTGGCCAGTCGGGGTCCAAACCCAAGTGCCTGAGGCCAAGGAGGGAAGGCAGTATCTGATTTCTTTTTACCTGTGTTCCTGTCCCTCAGCCTAATTCTGCACAACACTACTGGTAATTAAGCTGCGTTGCTAAGGCAGCAGATTACAAAAGACACTTAGTTGCATCAGGCTGGACATGCGGTGCCGCTTTAATAAAACTAGGAAATATTCTGCTGCACTCTCTAACATTAAAGCCAACTTTGTATTGTGCTCTTTATTTATTTGGTTTTAGTTTGTGTAATGGGTGTAGGATGATATATTTTAAAAGCCCGCTGGTGTTGCAGTGTAACTTCATTTTGTACTACTGTGTAGGGTTTTGTCTGTCTTTTGTTTTGTCTCTACACAGTCTAATTTTGCTGTAAACCCTTTTAATGACTGCTACTCTGTGTCGTGTTTGAAAGCTAGAAGCTACTTGATAGTTGGTGGATTAGGCAGGGGGTGTGACTGTATATAGTTGTTTGTAGGGGGAAGGAATTGTGTCACGGTGGCGTTCACTGACGCAGTTTTTACCACATAATGTGTACATAGACATTTCTCATCGGCCGTTGGTGTACATAAGTAATTGTGATTGGCCGCGTTGGTGTGAAGGAAAGCCAATGAAGCCTCACTTTGTGTGTGTGTGTGTGTGTGTGTGTGCGTGTGTGAAAGAGAGAGAGAGAATATTTAGGACCAGACAAAAAGGTTGACAATGACTGGACACACAAAAGTATTAATTTATTTTTATATGTGCAGGGACACTGTTTTTTCTTTTTTAGGTTTTGCATCAGTTTCTTGATGAGAAAATCATTTTATACTCTGGGCACCATGTTTTCATCTGTGCACATTTGTGTGGATCAATTTTGTACAAGTGGAAAATAATAGGAAAAAATCTGCCATATTTCAAGTAAGCAAAATAAAGAAACACATTAAGTTACATGAGTGTAGGATATTTTTATATGCAGAAAAACTACACTGACAGTTGATTTCTTCCATTATTTGCTGGGGCTTTCACTTTAATAGCAAATAAAGATATGAGGTTTTCCAAGAACTTCAGTTTTTTTTTATACTGTGGTACAACAAAAATATCAGTTTTTGACAACACAATAATATTATGAAATGTAGATTATTTTAAGAAAGTGTAGATTTCATTGTAGTAACAATGCATTTTTTAAACTTAAATACAGTTAAGTTTTAGAGCTGTACAGTAAACGAACCACATTTAGCCCAGAGAGCGGATTTTTATTTGGCTGGATTAAAAAAAAAGCAACCTAAAGTAGCAACACAAATTGAAATTTGTGTACACAAAATAGCACCCATTCTCATCTACCAATAAATAAAGCTGCAGTGTGACCTAATAAAATATGTTATAAAAATAGTATAATGCTGAAATAAAGCTGTGTATTATGACCTGTTATGTGACTGCAGAGAAGATTAGAATAAACAGGAACACATTAAAAATGCGGGGGACTAGATCATATTGAATTCTGTTATAAAAAGGCTTCTGGCTTGTATTATATGGCTTTATTTACACAGAAGTTTTTTGAAGAGATGGCAGCAGAAGGATGCAACTTATTCAGTAAAAAGGGGAAAGAAAATAATCATCAAGCTAAGAAGTGCTCATAAAAGCTGAGCATATTTAAATTTAAGCAATGTGCTTGAAGGCTTCTGTCCTAACAAACATGCACACACATCCCCCAAAGCTGATGTCTTCCAGCTGCCAAGAAACACCAGTGTGTGTGTGTGTGTGTAAGGGTGGGGGCACCATTCTGCTACATAAGCTTCTGCCCATAATTAAAAGCTCACTTTCCTCCTGCACCCTAGCTCCAACAAAAGTACATCCACCTCACCCCCTACCCTGCACAGACACACATTTGTACTTCCATCTTTGTGAGAACAGTCACTGACATAATACATTCCTTAGCCCCTAACCTAAACCTATTTGTAACCTGACCCCAATACCAAGTCTTGCCCATCAAAGGTGTGAGGACCAGCCGAAATGTCCTCACAATGAAGGCAACAAACTAAAAATTTGTCCACACAGACACGAAGGACACAATCTAACCAGCATTCAAGAACACAACCCCCCTTTTCTCACCTCCCCACCACTCACTATCAGCCCTGCCAGTCAAAGCCAGGCTGTTTAAACAGCATACACCCCTCCACCTCCTCTTTCATAAGCCTCCGTCGTCAGGGCTGCCTCCGCTCCACTTCCCATAACAGCAGTGCAGTCCTGCCACACATACACATACAGGGTAGAGCTGCTGTGTCCATCATCGATCACCCCCCCCCAAAACCCTCCCTGGGGGTGGGAGGGTTTACCAGCTGATGGAGGACCCCTGTGTGCTGCCTGGCCAGGTGCCTGATCACAAAGTCCAAGCACTACTAAACCCTGGTGGAGGTAGATGTGAGACCCCTCTCTTTTTCACACACACACACACACACACACACAGAGCAGATAGCGGGCCAGCAGGAGGGTTAAGCCCAGGACAATTAGACAAATGTAGGGCAAGATATCTGTGGCTTCCGAGGCCAGTTGAGCCACTGCCACTGAGAAGTGCTCTGCTGCATCATGGATGCATGGCAGGCATGGTCACTTTTAGTTTCTGCGTTGTAATATTTATTCTCCTGCTTCAAAATAATGGCATTTTACTAGTGTTACATTTTCAAGCTGCTCAGACAAGGCAGAAATTCAGGAGATCAAAACCCTTATTTAAATAAAATAAAAATCCGAAATAGAAGGTGGACAATAAAGTGGAGTATGATTCTGGATTTTATTTGTTTTGTCCTGATTTGGCTGCGGAATTTTACTTTGCACACATTTTTTGCGTTGACATTTTATGTACAACAATCGCAGTTATGTGAGTAGTTTACCACAAATAAAAAATGTCTAGTTTAGTCTCGCTGAGAGGTAGAAACTGCATTATTTTAGTCTCGGTGAGAGGTAGAAACTGCCTTGTGTCCTTTTGCATCGCTTCAAAAAGCCTCTTAAATAAAACACATAGAGCCAAAATAAATAAAAATCTGGTGACAAAATTCTTCAAAATAATTGTATCGCTACTTCCATTGTGAGCCACAACTGTACAGTATGACAAGTCCGCAAAGGTACAGGACCAGAATACCTCTAATTTATGACTGTCCAATGAAAACATCTTCAAAAAACAGGACAAACTGAAGGATCCAGTGCTCCTTCATCAGAAAGTTCTACTCTCTTAAGTTAAATAAATCTGAAAATTCACTGTCACAAAGCTGACAGTAAGGGCCTTTTACCTAGATTCTGAAAAGATGACAGTTTGGAGATGCATGGTTTTTAACAAGACACACAGTATCACATACTCACAGGGTTTCTTGCCAGCATCTCTCCCATCCTGCAGTGCAGCTCAGTTGTCACACTTTCAGCCAGCACAAATGAAAGCCAAACCATAAAACAAGTTAACCAAGTGGGTGAGTAATTCCTACACAGGTTCAGGCATATGTTTGGTAATTCAGTTAAATTATTTAATTAGACCTCAGCCTCAAAGAGAGAGTAAAGCGCCATAAAGCTGAGAGAGGCTCTGGTGTAATAAACCATTATGAGGCGGAGGCAGCCACTGGTGTGTACAGTAATGCAGTGTAAATCATCACTGAGTCGCTGCCATTAGGAGGTTTAATGGCCTGCAGTCAGATGCCAGGGGCCCCGAGCTGGTGCCGAGTGGAACCAGATTCGCCAAACAGAGGTGTTTAGGGCATAGGCAGGAGGAAGGAAGGGTACAAAAGGAGTGTAAGGGGAACAGCTGAGGAGATTCCCAGGGTATGTGTGTGTGTGAGAGAG